GGCCCGCACTGCGGACCCGCCGCCGTCAACATGTCCCTGCACGGCAAACGGAAGGAAATCTACAAGTATGAAGCGCCCTGGACCGTCTACGCCATGAACTGGAGCGTGCGGCCCGACAAGCGCTTTCGTCTGGCGCTGGGCAGCTTCGTGGAGGAGTACAACAACAAGGTGGGCCGGGCAGGGGCTCGGAACCCGGCTGGCGGGGAGCGGGCCCCGGGAGCTCCCTTTCCGGGCAGGAGCCCAGACTGCAGGACCCTTTTGCGGACTTGCCTTAGCGCTACGGAGCGATTCCTCTGAGTCTGGTCCTGAGCTCAGAGAGAGGGCTTCGCACTCGTTTCATTTAATCCTAACAGCATTCCTGTGTAGTTGAAGTGTAGTTACTCCTTCCCCCATTTTACTGATGAGGAGACTGAGGCACAATGTTGTGACTTGCCCGAGTCAGACATCTATTTCGTGGCGGAAACAGGTCTCAAACCCGAATTTACACCTCAAAGCTACGCCATCTATCACTCCTATCTCCCTCCCCTCCTGCCACATTGCTTCAGGTTGGGGTGCGGAGGAAGGAAGGAGGAGTGATGATTGTGAAGGAAAATGCTAATATTTCAGTTGCTGGTCATGCACGCCTGGCCGCGCTGGATTTCTATTAGGCTGTTTATTGCGCAGACTTCCCCGCCCCCTACTCCCACCTGCAGGTACTTTTCGTGGATACTCAGCCCCTCTGCCAGGATTTCCCTTGCTGTCTCATATCCGTCCACTTCAGAGCTATCTTTTTTTGGAAATCTTGGCCTATGGCCTTGATCCCGCCACTTTTTTTCTGAATTGAGAAGGATGACACTTGTCATATCTTGTCATTCTTGGCTTCTTTCGTGCTAATACAGATGTATAATCTTGAGTGGTAAGTATCAATTTGCGAGGCTTTCTTTCATAGAAGCACGGGTAGTAGGGGGAAGCTTTTAAGCCAGCAGTACAGTATAAATTTATTTTTGAATATTGTTGAATAAGTCAGTGGGAAGAATTTTTTATCTTTTACCTCTTAATTTCTTCCTTTTGTTGTGTTAGAGTAAACGTTGTGATTGTTAGGGTTCGGAGCAATTGAAAGCCTTGGCTAGTGTATTTAAAGCCAGTACTCCTGCTTGACACCATAAATACCATGAGTTAATAAAACTGTGTGGACAGTGACAGGCATGGTGCAGGGGGAAAACACCCAGGTAGTCTAGGATTGAGTCCTGTCTGGTCTGTTGACTAGTTGTGGGGTATTGCATATGTCAGTCTTAATATTTCTGACCCACAGTTTGCTGTAGGAAAGGGGTTCTTTTTCACACGTGAAAGTCCTGTAAAAAACATTTGACCACTATAAATCTGTTTATAGTTCTTCAGGAGCACAGTTGTTTCTCTGGAGTTAGGTTTTAACTTTTTGGAATCCCCTTTGAGAAACTGATGAAAGCAAAGGACTCTCATTGCCCAGACATTACACATATGTAGTTACAACAAATACTAGGGAGTACACACTGATCTTGAAGTCTACCCATTGCCCACAGAAAGCAGAGTCCTGGCAAGACATAACTTTATTTTCTTTTCTCTGATTTCTCTTACTTCCTTATTTATGGCCATAGTGGACAGCAGAGCTGGGAATGGAATTCATAGTTGTGATGTAAAAACCCATGTTAGTAAAATTAAGAGCACTAGAACTATTATTAAGGATACATGTAAAAACCAAAAATGTAAATTATGTCTTTCAAACGGCTTGAGTCTTTTCACACAAGTAGATATTTTTTCCTTGCAGGTTCTTCCAGGGTTAGTCTCATAAGCAGTAGTAGTTATATTTCTAAGAGAGGACAAACTGGGCCACAGGCTGCTAGGAATAACTAATGTCAAACCTCAGTTGCAGGAACTTTACCCCAAAGTTTGTACTTTCATTTAGCAACTGTTCAAGAGCTCCTTTATGCTGGGCACACAGGCAGTGTGGCTTAGTAGTGTAGTGCAAACTAATCCCAGTAGTAACAGAATAAGCAGTTAACTATATCTTAACTCACTTGTGTGTTGTAGGTGATCAGTGTCCTAAAACTATTTTTGTGCCCCCACCTATCCAGGACAGGGTTTTTAATGTGTGTGTGCGTGGGCATGCACACCCATGGACACCTTTGACAATCAGAAAGAAGCCAATATCCTTTTTTCATAATTACATTTTGAAATGCATAAAATACATAGGATTATGAAGGAAACATTATATTGAATTACAGTTACCAAAAACATTTTTTAAAAAATGATGATATAGTAATGCGTACTTTTAAATTAACTCTTAAATTATATCATCCAGTGTAACTATTACTGTACTTATGAAGTAGTGATGAAGGTAAACAGCATTTCAAGATGTTTAACCACTCTGATGTGAAAAAAATCAATGATTATATTTGTGACATAGTCACAGGTATGCTGTTGTAATTGGCCACATTCATTTGTAATTGAAGGAGATGCTGAATTTCAGCTAGAAGTTAGTGAAAGTATGAATGTAATTTTCCAGTTCAAGTTCATAGACCCCAAGAAATCATGCTATAGAGAGGATCTGTGCCTAGGGGCTGGTGGGAAGTAAATCTCATTTTAAAGCAGTGATTCTCAGGCTCAGTTTTGGAGTAACTTTGACATGGAGGTGCCAGAATTCATAATTTGCAGTAATTTAAATATTGGTTTGAATTTTTAAACCTCTGGTTCCTGCTCGCCCTTAATAGTGATTGCCAGCAAAGGAGAAAATAAATGGACAGCAAATTAACTGACGAAAAAACCCGGAAATAGTCTTTTTTACTGTGGAGATATTGACCATAAGAAAACATGGTTATAATTTTTAAATTTTGTATTAACGTAATCATGTTTTACTATAGTAAAATTCTTTGTAGTTTGATGGAATTAAATCGCTTAGTATTTCGAGAACAGTTTGACTTCCAGGTGTTCCACTGTCTGAATAAATTTGGGAATCATTGCAGAGTCAAGAACCAGAATCTGTCAACTACACCTGGGAAAAAAAGTACCCTTATTGGTAATTGTGTTTTAGGTTTTATTTTTGTGGTCTCTCTTGGGGGATGCAGCAGCATTGGTGTTGGAGCAGTGGTTCTCTAAATTTTTATGTGTCAAATCTGAGAGATTTGCACATTTCTGGGCTCCACCCCTTAAGTTAATAGACCCTCAGGTGATTCAGACATAGGCACTCTAAAATCATTGCCCTGGAATTACCTTGGCATCTGCTTATCAGAGGCAGGAATCCGATTTTTTTGCATCTACAAGCGCCTAAACATCAATTCTGTCCTTTCATCCCATGATAAAAGCTTTACTTCCAGATAGCCTCCCTGGATAGCCTAGGTTGAGATCTCAGGCCTGCCAGTTCCCAGTTTTGTGTGGCCTTGGATAAGTTAACTTCTGTGCCTCAGTTTCCTCATCTGTAAAATGAGTGTAATAAGATTAAATGAGCTAATCTATGTAATGGAATTCTGCCTGGCACATAATAAGCAACTTGGAAATGTTAGTTATTATTTCATCATCATCATTATTGTTCCCGTAATTGAAATATAATCAAGGAGAATTATATAGGTGCTATGTAAATTTGACTTCTGAATTTTCCAGAGAGGAATCAGGACCCTGGGTAAGAAAGTTACCTTAAAAGGTCATTATGTTCAGTCTTCTGCCTTTTAAAGACCCAGGAGAAAAAATTTACTTGATTCCTTTCAACAAAACTCATTTTGTGGTCTGGAAGCTTCAGGTAGTCAGACTCCAGGTATTATAATATACTAGTTTAAGGCCATTTTCTTTTGTTCTACAAGGCTTAGACGCAGTAACTGATCTAAGAACTCTGGTATTTCTCCTGAGTTTTGACAATATCTGTGGAGAAAGATGGGCAGCAGTTCTTGGGCTTCTAGTCCAGGGTTGGTTTTGAATAGAATTGGTAGGGTGATTGGATTTATTTTGCCCTACTTTTAACTAGCTGACTACTTGTGCTTTAATATTTAGTATCTAGAAAACATTTTTGAGATTGTGAAGAGAGAGACTATAGGTATACCTGATGCTTTCTGAAGAACACTGGTAGTGAATCTAGGTCAGACCACCTTGTACTCGAAATACAGATGGGATGAATGCTTGCCTTGTCAGCCTGTGTTGATTCCTCTGAGATTTTTTTAATGCAGAATTACTTTAGCTATTTGGTGCATAATGATTTTGACTCTGGGATATAATTTTTCATGTCTCAGTGTTCGTGGCAGCCCTTCAGGATTCTCATTTATTTGCTCATCAATTCAACAGTTATATATTGAACACATATATATGTTTTAAGCATAGTGATGATGCTTGGTAATCTGTAGCCTTTGTTAGCAGATGTGATATTGATGACAATAAAGAGAAAGTATTTTAATACACATAAGTATTTTTGATAAATATTTAGAATTTTGCAAATTTTGCAGTGTTCCATCAGTCCCTCGCAAGACTGTCAGCAGGGAAATTTAAAACATAAAACTTCTAGTTTTAACTTCCTCCTTTCTTTTTTCTAGACAGTGAGAGAACTAATTCCTCCATAGGACCAACTGGATAAAAGAGCTGCTTCTTTATTGCTTTTTGCCTTAACCCGGTTCACACAGACTTACTGGAGATGTTGTGGTTTGAACAAGGAATGAATCTGCATTCTATAGGTAGTCTGGCCTGCCTAAGGCTGTGAGGCCAGAGCTCAGTGTTCAGCCTCTGAGCAGAGAGCCGAAGGGGTGCTGTGTCAGAATTCATCTCAAAGTTTGACAAGGCAGGATCTCTCTGGAGACATTGATCAACAATAGTCAGGAACAAGCTTGAAAGGAAGACAAATGGAAAAGACCAAAATAAGCTGGTTTATTCTCTCAGAATTTTGCTTCAGCTATTAAGGTTATGGGAAAATATTCCACTGACCGGAGTGGTAAAATGATTTGGATAACTTGGGGTCTTTTAAAAAAATTCCACATATACACATATATATAAATGTGCATTCACCTTCATGTTCTGGTACTAGCACTGTGTGTAGTAAATGGAATACACGGGTTCCTCCCTCGGAGACCTTATATTAACAAGATAGACATGGCATCTTTTAATTTTTAAAAAATACAAGGTCTGGGTAATGTGAACAATAATTTATGTTATTCCTGAGAGTAATAAAAGTGAAAGTGAAAAATGTAGTCATGCCTTCAAGGAGTAAATATTTTATGTTATGTATCTGCTCCTTAGGAGACATCTGATGTAGTAATACCCACACTTTAAAAATAAGTAAAAATGATCTTGCTTCACAGCCTTTTCTTTGTAGGGGCGTTTGTTTCACGTGTGGGGTAAAGTGTTGTGAAGCGGTAGTTACAGAAAGGCAGTGGCGGTGGGAGATAAGGTTAGCAGGAGGACAAGGCAGATGGGGAAACCTAAATGTTAACAATAAGACAATTAAGTCATATAATTTTTCCGTATGTTCCGACGAGTGAGAATGGATGCCAGTACAATGAAGGTCAAATGGGTATAGGAAGATGCTACAAAAGGGTATCTATGGCTGCAGTTTCAAACTCAGAAGAGCACAGTTTTCCAGGATAGGATTTTGATGGGCAAAATCAATAATCCTTTGTTTGAGACAGTGAGAAGAGGGTGCACAGGCTGGCAGAAGGAGCTTGGGCAAGAGGGGAGCTAAGCTACATAAGGAGACACATAGTTGTGCCAACTTCTTAAGAAACATTAGCTGAGGTAGGTTGAATGAGAGATTAAATTGTGAGCAGCTTGGCAACTCCTCATCTTGTTGGCTGGAGAGATGCAGAGGCTCCACATGTTTCCGCTAACTTGGAACGTGGCCATGACCTCTCTCCAATAGGAGCCTTCTTCACATCATCTAGGAAAAACTTGCCTTATTCATAAAAGAACCAGCACAGTAGTAATAGAAGGATACTATAAGAAAGGAGAGAAACAATGGGAAACAAGTGGCAGGTAAAGTACCCACACTAGGAAAATGTTTTTACCTCAGCTGAAATTAGGAGCCACTCCTGCCACCATAATGTCAGAGAACTTACGAAAATAAGGAACTCCAAGCAGAGATACAGAAGATCAGGTAAAATAAGGTCTGGTGACAAGAGAAAATGGAACAACAGCAAGTAGAGCCCAGGAAAATAGTGGAAGCTAAAACAAAAATTATTACAGAATTAAAAGCCATAATGGAAAGAATAAAAATGAATATTAACTGCTGAAAACACAGTGAAAGATAGGGAAGACAGATTGAGAAAATGAAATGGAAATAAATAATTAGAACATAATAGATACAGAAAATAAAGATCTAACTTAGGTATAATTGGTGTCCCTGAAGAAAACCAAAGAAATGAAACAAAACTCGTATGTAGTTAACGACTTTTATAGAAATAAAGATTTGAAGTTATGAGTTCAAACTATATCTCACAATTGGCACTGAAACATTTCTTAGGGAAGTTTCTATAGTTTAAAGAATCTTTTGGACATCCAGGCAAAACGCTTGAGGGAAAAGGAGAAATTGGTGACAGGGTAAGGGAGCAATGTCTATAAATCTGCGACTTTTAGTTTTAGGTCGTGTTACTGTAAATACCCGAGAATACGCTTAAGAATATGTAAGATTTATATGGGGAAAAGTATGCACTTTTTAAAAGATAACTCAGTTTATAAAAATTGACGATGTATTAAGAAAGAAAATTTTAATTTAAGAGAAATCAATAGATTGGAAAAAATACTACATATCAAAACTTTTGGGGAGATGAGGAAACTAAAGCCCAGATATGCTAAGTGACTTGCCTAAAGTGACATGCTAATAATAGGGCCAGAACTGGAATGCTGCCTGTCTCCAAAGTCTTAAATATATACTGGTGTCAGAAAAAAAAAATTATGGGAAAAAAGAAGTGTTGAAGAACAGTGGGGAACACTTACCCTACCAGATTAGAATAAGCATACTGGAAATGGTATAGTTGTAGCCAGAGGGGTTGGTAAAACAAAGAATGTTCCAAAGCAGATCTAAATATATATAGAAATGTAGTATATGATAAGATAGAACCTTAATTCATTGGGGGAAAAAATTACTAAATCGACATAATCGTCTATCTGACAGGAATATTTAGAACCATCTAATTCATATCATATTTGAAAATTCCAGGTCAAATATCCAAAGACAAATCTCACAAACAATAATAAAAGAAAACTGACTAGGAATGTAAAGAGAGTGCTGCTACAATTTTTTAAGACTACAGTAAAAAACGATCCAAATGAAATTTAAAAATATGTTTTAAGGGAAAGCAGTACTAAACTTTAAGGAGTAGAAAACAATAATTTAAAAATCATGGAAGAATTGAAAATGTAGTCAAAGATCTACCTCCAAAACAGAACCACCCTCACTTTTGTGGGTTAATTTAACCAAAGGAAATCTGTAACAAATAAGGGAACAGTAGCCATCTGTAAGAGTTCCTGCAAATCAATATGAAAAAGATACAACTCAGTGGAAAACAGCAAATGTTTTAAGTTGGTGGTTCAGCATTATGGTGAAGAGCTTGGGTTGTAGGATGGGACTGCTTATATTTAAGATGCAAGAAGTTAACCTATCTTTTACTTAGTATCTTCTTCTGAAAGTGGGAAGAGTAATAGCACCTACCTCATGGAGGTGTCGAGGTAATGCATGTAAAATGCATGTAAAACATGAAGCATAATGTTATGACTTGGTCCATCATAAGTACTTAGATATGAACAGTTACTGTTACTCAGAAATAAAAATAGTAAACGAATATGCTCAGCCTCAATAGTAAAATGGTGATGAAATGCCTTTTTTCATCAGAGTAGCAACAATGTAAAAGATTTATTATTTTCAGTGTTTTCAAAGGTATGGGGAAATTGACACTCATATACTGTTAATGAAAGTACATGGAAGCAACCTCTTTGTAGGCTATTTGTCAGAATCTATTAACATTTAAAATGTATGATGCAACAATTATACTTCTAGCAATCTCTCCAATAAAAGCATTTGCACGTGTACGAAGTATTGTTTATAATAGTGAAACAATGGGAGACTACCACTTTATTCTGTTTTATATAAATATTCACAAAGAAGTTACTTTCTCTTTCATCGTTAAATTTTAAATGTCTGAGTATCTGAACAAAAATTGAGATTTGAGGGGAAATACGATGACCTGCAAGGCTCTTAGAAGTGAGTAGCGTTTTTGCTTCTGGTTTAACCTCACAGTGTTATCTGCGTGGTTACAGGGAGGGATTTTTGTCTTTGGCGCTCCCTGCTGTATCCCCAGGACTTAGAACAGTGCCTGGCACCTAGTAGCCACTCAGTAAATATTTGTTGAATAAATACATGAATGAACTATCTGGCTCAAAATCTATGAGGCTTATTCTTTATTCTGCCCAATGAGCCCCCAAATTTAGCCTCTCATCTATTTGTTCCTCCCTGCCCTACCAAGGCTGATACCAATCTAGAGTCTTCCTTCTTTACATATTATTTTCTACAAAGGTCAGAATGTCAACTTTTTAATTCTCTAAGAACTATTCATTTGGTCAAAATCCCCCTGTGGCCATCGCTGTTTATCCCTTGCCGTTCTCACTACCAGTCACCACAGGGCCTTCACTTTTCCCACTTGTTTCCCTGTGGGTCTCCAGGCCGAGCTCCCTGCCTCCAGCTTCTTCCCAGATCCAGTTAGTTCTGCCCAGCATTACCAGGCCTCAGACTCTTACCTCCACGGCCTCAGAGTCCTACTGCTCCCTTCTCAGACACCTTCACGGGGGAGAGCCCACCGTCCTCAGGTTGCTTTCAGGCTGTCCACCTTGCCGTAGGCACACCTCCCAGCGTCGTCTGCACAGCTCTCAGGTGGTTCCTCTCAAACAGGTTTTCTTGCTGCCACCAAGTGGGTCCATTTAGTTTGCCACCTTAGTACATTTGTTCCTTCTGTCCCATCTTCCTGGGATGTCTTCGCTTTTTTCTTTGCCTCCCCAGAACCTTTCCATACACCTTTGATGACTGCTTAGGTTCTAAGCAGTCTTAGGTTCTGCTTAGGTTCCTCACTTGCCCACTTTGATGTATTACTTGTTCCTCTAAACTGTTACCAGGTATTATCTGGGTTATAAATAAGCAGATAATCATATATTACCTGCAGCATCACTTTATTACTGTGTTTCAAGGCAGTGGGTTTTTTTCCCTTTTACATTCTCTCTCCCAACACATGTGATTTTCGAAAGCCTGCAGGTGCACCATAAAAATGAATATGTAGATTTAATTTTCATACGGATTTTTTAAAGTCAGACATGGATGTCAAGATCTATAATTATACTTCGAAAAACCCTTAAGAATCTACCAAAAAAGCTACTAAAACTAATAACTAAGTTACAAGATCCAAAACAAAAACCAATTGTATTTTTATGTAGTAGGAATAAACAATTGGAAATGGAATTCAAAAAATAATTCCATTTATAATAGCATTAAAATACTTAGGAATAAAATTAATGAAAGAAATGCAAGACTCTTACATAGAAAATTTTAAAACTTTGCTGAGAGAAAGAAAACCAAAATGGGTAGAGGATTGCTATGTTTAGAGTTTGGAAGACTCGATATTTTTAATAACAGTTTTTCTAAACATTTCTAGATACAACATAATCCCAATCAGCATCTCAGTTTTTTTGTAGAATTTGACAAGCTGGTTCTAAAATTTACAGAGAAAAACAGAGAAAAGCAAATATATAGAATGGCAAAACCTTTTTGAAAAAGAACGACAAAGTTGGAGAACTCACACTATCTGATACGTAACTAGAAAGCTGCTGTAATGGAGACAGTTGGTACTGGTAAATGGATAGGCATGTACACCAGTGGGACAGAATGGAGAATCCAGAAATAGATGCACAGATACATGGTCAATGGATTTTCAGCAAAGAGGCCAAGGTAATTCAAAAGAGAAAGTACAGTCTTTTTGATAAATGATGCTGGGACAGGCAGTTTTATTCACGTGTTAAAAAGTGAACTTCGATTCATTCTTTGTATCATATAAAATTGTGTGTCATAGACCTAAATGTAAAGCCTAAAACTATAAAACATTTAGAAGAAAACAAAATGTTTGTGACCTGGGGTTGGGCAGTGGTTTCTTAGCTAGGACACAAATGGCATGAGCTATAAAAGAAATGTAAATTGGTGTCATGAAAATTTTTAATTTCTGTTCTTCAAAAACGTTGAAAGAAAATGACTGAGCAGCCATAGTCTGTGAGAAGATACTTGCAAAACACATAACCAGGGACTTGTACCCAGAATATACAAAGAACTCCAGAAACTCAATAAAACAACCCAGTAAAAATCGAAGTGAAACTATACCATATGGTAGTATACTGGTGGATACATGTCATTATACATTTGTCAGACCTATAGATTGTACAACACAAAGACTGATGTCTAGACTATGGACTTTGGATGGTGGTATATCAGTGAAGATTCATCAGTTAGAACAAACATACCACTTTGGCGCAGGTATTTTGATAGCGGAGAAGGCCGTGCATGTGTTGGGGCAAGAGGTATATGGGAACTCTCGGCCCAATTTTTCTGTGAATCTAAAAAAAAATTAAGTCTATTTTTTAAAAGGACAAAATACTTGAACAGACTTCACCAGCGAATAACTGCAGATGACAAATAAGCACATGAAAAGATGTTCGGTATAATTAGTTACTAGAGAAATGCAAATTAAAATACTACTACACATATATTAAAATAATTTTTAAAAAACTGGCAATACCAAGTGCTAACAAGGATGTGGAGTGTGCGGAACTCTCATCTGTTGCTAGTGGGAATGCACAGTGACAAAGCCACTTAGAAAATGGGTTGGCAGCTTGTTTTTGTCTTTTACTGAAGTTAAACATAGAATACGATGCAGCAATTCCACTCTTAGTTGTTTACCCAAGAAAAACGAAAGCTTGTCCAAAAAGAAACTTAGACACGAATGTTTATGGCAATAATATTTCTAATGGCTGCAAAGTAAGAATAACCCAAAAGTTTATCAACTGGTACATGAATAAATTGTTGTGTGTCCATGTGAAACAATATTATTCAGCAATAAAAAAGACTACTGATATAACATGGATGAATCTCAAGAGCATCATTCTGAAAGCAGGTCACAAAAGACTCAGTACTACGTGATTCCATACATAGTATTACAGAAAAGGCAAAGCTATAGATCAGAAGTTGCCTGGGGCTAGGCATAGAATATTTACTGCAGAGAAGCCCAAGGTAACTTTTTGGGAGATGGAAATGTTCTATATCTTAATTATTGTGAGGTGTTACACAACTGTATACATTTGATCATATCTTCGTTCCAAATCATTGAACTGTGCACTTAAAGTGAGTGAATTTTATTGTATGCAACTGAAATAAAATTGTTAAAATGACAGGAAGATACTTGTATCTAAGACTGAAGTCAGAAGGAGGAGTAAAAAGAATGCTAATCATCTGCGTATGGTTAGTGCTTATCCTCTCATTATGGAGCTTTACCAAAAATTTCCCATTCTATATTCCAATTGGTGGAAGTTCATAAGCAAATGTATACTGAATGGCATTTCCCATTGATCCAGATTGAATTTGATGGCAAAGAATGGAAGTCAACATTGGCCCAAAACTGACTCAGAAAAAGTAGCCAGAACCAGGGAGCTTTCTCATCAGTGGTACCCCCGGCCCCCCCTTTTTTTTTTTGGCCAGTTAGAGTGGTTTGGGCTCTTGAATGCTGGTATGACACACCTTTATGTGTAAACACGTTACTAGCCAGTGAGAGAGGGTGGTGGTCAGTTTGCACACTTAGCTTTTTAGGTGATAGTCACTCTGTTGTGGGACTGCACGCAGGGTGTTTGATGTTCCTGGCCCTGGGCACTGAGTACCCACAGCACTTCAAGTCGTTGGGGTAACTGAAACCACGTGTTGTCAGATCCCTCAGGTGTGGAGGGAGGTGAGACCCGCTGCAGAGATAGTGTGGTTCTGTGGTGCTGGGTCAAGAGTGCAGGAGTTGGAGACAGAAAACCTGCATTCAGATTTTGTGTCTGCTTCTTCCTGGTTTTGCAGTGTTGACTGTAACTCAACCCCTCCGAGTCTGGGTTTCCTCATCCGAGCAGTGTGATGATTGGACTAGATGCCCTCTCTCTCTAATAGTTCTTGACTCTGCAGTTAAGTGCAGTGCAGTGTCAGGACTTCGGTCACTGACCAGAGGTCTGATGTGTTTGACATTGCTCCGAAAAACACAAATGTTTATGGGGCTCAATTTTGGTGTGTTCCAGGTTCAGCTTGTTGGTTTAGATGAAGAGAGTTCGGAGTTTATTTGCCGAAACACCTTTGACCATCCGTACCCCACCACAAAGCTCATGTGGATTCCTGACACAAAAGGCGTCTATCCAGACTTACTGGCGACAAGTGGCGACTATCTCCGTGTGTGGAGGGTAAGCAGGTGCTCACTTAGCAGCCAGATGAGTGGGCTTTCTCCGTGTCAGCTGTTATTAGCAGCACAGAGGTACGAAGAACAAACTGGGGTTGGAGGCAGCGAGTGTTGCAGCCTAGTAGCAACAAATGGTAGCGTATCTGGAATGACCTTGCTTGGCTCAGCAGATTTCCTAAAACCCAGCCAAGATTCCTTGAAGTCCTGCTGCTGGCTGCAGGCAGCTCTAGAAACCCAAGGCTCAGTTAGCCTGATAAAACCTTCCGTGGGGGTGAGGATGCTGGAGGCCTCTTATTCTCTTTACAGCCAAAATGTTTTTGAGCAAATTTAACAAAATACCAGACCACTGATTTTAGTAAAGTATATGTGCGGATTATGGAGCTTCACCGCCACCCCCTCGGCTGAACTCATCATCAGCGTCTCCTATAGCCTGGAGGTGTAGTGCCCAGCCAGGCAGGGTACCCAGATCCTGGGTGGGCAAGATGAGACCTCTCCTCTAGAAAAATTAGGAAAACAGCTCGGCAGAGGAGAAAGCTTGGAAAGAAGTAACATTCAGAGAGTTCTTCTGGGTTTTATTACTCTTTCTGATAAAAAAAAGTTCTCTCCCCTTACTAAGGTATTGTCTAAACAGGGCTATAAAGGTTTTTTTTGTGACGGTAAGACTGGCTGATCTTTAAAAATTATTGCTTTAGGTTGGCGAAACAGAGACCAGGCTGGAATGTTTGCTGAACAATAACAAGAACTCAGATTTCTGTGCTCCTCTGACCTCCTTTGACTGGAATGAGGTGGATCCTTATCTTTTAGGTAAGGGAGTAAAGGAGTGTGGATTCCAGTTTGAAGAAGCAAAGATAGACACTTTCTCAGATATAACACTCAGCCAGTTTTTAACCAGGGTCCTGAGGTACATGCATCATCCTAGAATGGGGCCAAGTGGGAAAGAGGCTAAATATGGAATGTGGTTATTAATTCCTCATATGGATTGGAGCTTCTCATGTGTATATATCTTGTCTCTTTAGTCAGAGTCTAAGATTTTGTGGTAATGACTGAACACTTGACTCTCTTTTTGGCTCTCCTGGTACCCATTCCTATGCTAGGAAGTGTTTGTGGCATGTGGTCTCCTGGGCTGAACTGAGTAGGCACAAAGAGAGAAGCTTGCACAGGAACCTCACTCCTGTCAGCTACTGACTTGCATTGGTTGTTTCCAGGTACCTCCAGCATTGATACAACTTGTACCATCTGGGGGCTGGAGACAGGGCAGGTGTTGGGGCGAGTGAATCTTGTGTCTGGCCATGTGAAGACCCAACTGATCGCCCATGACAAAGAGGTAATCATGCTGTTTTGTTCCTCTTCTGCTTTCCTCAGCTGCCTTCTGTGCCTTCAGTGTGAGGTCAGACTGTCCTCTCACTGTTTTGCAAATGATGTGGAAAATCGTAATGCCGATGTTGTGTCTGAATCGAAAATAGTAACGTGTCAAAACAGTGGAAAATAACACCGTTGTAAAGGAATGTGTTTTTTGGGCTCCCATTAACAACTTGTTCTATAGTCTTGTTTTTCTTTTCATGCTGGAAACTGCTGTTTTTTAAATAATGAACTCTCTTATAGACAAACTTGGACCTGAGATGATTAAAAATTAATCTTAGAGTAACACTTATCTTGAAATATATTTGCTTTTGGGAGGAGGAGAGGTGGTAGGAGGGAGGAGAGAAATTTCCTGGCAGACAAATGTAATTCATCAATTTTTCTCTAAACTTGTTTTATGAAATTCTACTATGTTTACTTAATACTTATACTTTTAAAACTATTTGGAATTGAATATGGTTTATCTTGATGGTGATGTTTCTCCTGTGTTTATTGCAGAAGCCATGGGAGCTATTTGCGATTGTGGTTTAATCAAAGCATTCTGAGTGATTTTGGAAAATGGTCATAAATCTTTCCCTCCCAGAGCCTCTGCATGCTCCTGGTACTCTGATTTCCTGTGGGTAGTGTTTCCTCATCTCTTCTACCTTACTTTGCACAGTGAGGAGTATTAATATCTGTACAGATAAAAAGGATGCCTTCACCTTAGGTCAGAAACTTGCAGTTGTCACAGAATGGGAAGTTGGTGACCAGGTTATCACTCTTAATAAGGGATTGTTCTTTGGCTTTCTGTGCTCTTAAGGGTAAGATCTGTTACGAGACTGCTGG